ATTATATTATATAATATAAAAGCCCAAAACAGTCAAAGCTGCGAGAAAGGCACCAGCCAGTTCCCATGGGCTAAAGCTACAGATAAAAATGTTGTCCCCACCCTTGATAAGTTTAGAAATTGGTCACTGAAAACAAAAGCAGGAACAACCTTGTCTTGAGGAAAGTTAAACTTTGTAATAGTTGGAGTTATAAGTTTTAATTGCTGCTGTGTATAGAGTAGACATTTTAATAGATCATGGGATACAGGTTCAACCTCTGTATCTGAACATATACAAATACAATTTTTGTATGGGAGGTTGAGATGTTTTCCAGTTCTTGCCCTGATAGGTAATGCATCAATTTGGGCCAGAGAAAAGAAACTTCCTATGTGGAACATGCATGATCTTAAAAAAAATAGCTAGGGACTGTCCAGGAGTATGGAGCAATTCTTCTATAACAGAGATGGGAGATGTTGGCCCAATTTGAGTGGATATCGAAGTTCCAGATCCCTGGGATGAGTTCTGCTAAAGTTTTATTGAGGCCTAAAGTAAGTAAAGCTGGTATTGGCAGACCACAATATATCATGTCTTGATGAATTTGCCTTTGCAGGATGGATACGAATCAATCAGACAGGGTAAGATGAACCAAGCAGGTCTCCCAAATGATTTACTTTGCCTAAGACCTTAAGTGGCAGAGTCCACGCATTTTGGGGCATGGGCCCCAAAAGAGACACAGCCCAGTTAGAATTGCATTACAGCACTACAGGTTGAGTGAGGGATGTGTGCTCCTGTTTTAGAAAATGTAGCTTATACAGAGTGGACATCTTCTTATAGACATACACCTGGGTACCTTAGAGCAACATACTCAAAACTTTGGCCATGAATGGCTTAATGGCAGCTGGGACAAAATTATTCCCATGCCAGTTTGCAAATTTTGTAATTGCTAGAGATGATCTTCAGGCCTTTACAGGTTGGTTGCCCCAGCAGGTAGAGGATTGGAAGTAGACACCTGTATATTTGACACATTTCACCTGCTCAATAAATCTTTCACTTATCAACCATCTAGCTGAGTGGTTGAAATGTTTTCTTGAAAATACCAGGGCTTTTGTTTTTGGGTGATTTATTTCAAGGTCTTCTCTACTGCATTGGGCCAGTAAAGCTGTAAGATATCTACACAGTTCAACTATTTATAGAGAGAAAATGGCTGTATCATCTGCGTGTAACAAAATAAATATGGGATGATTGGCCAGAGAGGGAGAGTGAAATTCTGGGTTGGCAAAAACCTCAACAATTTCATGAATAGAAAAACTGAACAGCAAGAGAGCAAATATGCATCTTTGCTTGACTCCTTTACAAGTGGAAATAGGTTCGGTAAGGTCCCCATTGCTATTACCCTTGACTTGTATGGTAGGTGTATGACTTGGTGTAATCGTGTAATCAGTTTAAGGAGATGGGGATCAATTGCTGAGGCTGCTAGTTTTTTTCAGAGTTTTTCTTGAGATATAGGATCAAACTTGAGTAAAACTGGATTAAGCAAGATAATCCATACTAGTGATTAATAGCTTTGTCCAGCCCTTGCTCTAATATATTACGAACATGGGCTGGCTTTTATTTTCATAGTGAAGTTAATGTGTTACTTTGCTAGAGCAGAAGCTCCCATCTTCACCTGAGTAAATGGGTCAATCTGTCTGAACATGTTATGGCCCAGGGTCTCAGACAACAACAAGAAAAAAATGTATTAAACCATACCTACAACAGTTATGTTTGCATAACCTACATAAGAAAGTCCAGGTCCTCCTTCCATCAACATGTAGGTTGCAGAATCTTGGAGTGTTAAATGATGGATGGAAAGGGAACAATTTGAGTAAATGATCTCCCGTCCAGTGTACTGTGGTCCTTGTGTGGACCCATAGAATGGGAACCGGAACTGGATTCCAATTTCCTGCATTGTTTCTGGTGACAATCCCCTGGACCAGCTGCAAAGGACAATCTTATCTATGGGTTCTGGTGGGCTCAACATAACCTCCAGCATCTCCATTGGCTTTGGAGAATCCAACGTAATAGGAATAGTATCTTTGGCTTGAGCCAACCTGAAGCTAGAATGGAAAATGGAAGCTGCAGAACAAGAGGAAGGAGAAAGAGAGAAAAAAATGATTCTAAGCAAAATAAATTTTAAGCAAAAGGCCCATTTAATTAATTAATTTATAAGTAGAAGCAAACCTTTCTGGCAAATGGTGTTGCATGCTCATTTGCAATATAACAAACAGTCAAACCAATGCTATAACACGGGAAACGTTAGGAACAGACCTGAAAAATCTTTCAATTCAATTAATAAAAAAACAGTTGAGAAAAAGCTGATGGCATATAAAGCACGCAAATATCAGGTGCCCACATCATGTTAAATTATCATTTAAATATCATTTATTGAATAGATCACAGTTGTCTGAGTTCACAGAACATGCTGAACCAAAATTGAACAAGCTATATTATACAATGCAGTGTTCCTCAACCTTGACAACTTGAAGTTGTGTGG